ATGGTCCGAGATTGATTCCCTAGAACTAACTCCGATTCACCCATTCTCCCTTCTCTGGTCTACGTTGGCGGTGGATATCACTTCTTATCGACACCTCGTGCTTGGACCTATGCAATTCTCCCTGTCTATTTGGAAGAGATGCAAGGTTAAATTTGTGCTGGCCTCTGACTGCTCTCCCTTGACCAATGTTCTTTTTAATCCATTCCTTCTGGACAGTCTGACCATGTCCCGAATGCTCCCTTGGGCTTCAGCCAATCTCTTCCAACTGCGCCATCTGGTCCACCCGGTGACTCGGGTACTTAAACCCTTCTCTGTTATCCAGAAAAAAGCAAATCTACCTCCCCAGCATTTTTATGCCTATTTGCAGATACACTATTTCCTTTCTACCTTGTCACCCTCTTTGACCCTTGAAAAAGCCTACTCACTTTGAGCGTCTATGTATACAGGGCCCACATCAAAGGGGCATAATATCCTTTACATATAAGCTCCTTATGGACGCCTATCCCTTATCCAATGACACCCACCATTATATGCGCAAATGGTCCCAATCTCTCAGCTGTGACATTGATCTTCCATATGCGTAGTCTATAAGGAAAATTTGTATAAAATCATGATGTTTTGGTACAGAACACCTGATGTACTCCATGCCCGTAACCTGAGTGCTTCTCTGCCTGCTGGCGATGTGGGAGGGAATCTGGATTCCTTTATCATATTTTTTGGGAATGTAGGTCCATCATACCCTTTTGGGAGGATGTACGGTCCCTGCTATGTTCGCTACTACGTACCGACCTTCCTTTTGAACCCCTTTATTTTCTATTGGGCCTACCCTTCCCAGGCCTCCCCAAACTGTCCAGGAAACTCTCTGTGCATGTTCTGACGGCGGCCAGAAGCATTCCCATGTGCTGGCTCTCTTCCACACCCCCCTCACTACCAACATTATTTAAGATTATTACAGACATTAGAAAAATGGAATACTTAACCGCTCTCCATGCCAACTCTGTAACCATATTTGAAACTGTATGGAACCCATGGGATGCCTATATCTCTGCTCAACTTGTTCAAAATGTACTGATTTGATTATTTTTCCACTGTTGCTTTATTGACATTGTATGGGTTTTTTTTTCTTTTTTTACCTTTACATGTTCTTATCATCGATGAGCCTCTTTCTTTTTTTTTATCTCTGTTTTTTTCAAAATGTCATGTATATTTATACGTGTGAAAACGCCATAAAATGTTAATTACAAGAGGCAGTTGCATTTGATGTCTCAAAAAAGTGAGCTACCCCTTTTGCCACAACTCTCAGTTGTGCAGGGTACAACATATTGAACATTTAACTGCCACAGGCACCTCTTGATATCAACAAATTTCACTCTAAGTACACAGAGAAATCTGGAAAAAAAAAATTAATTTTTACTCCATTATACATTATGTCCTTCGTCTCTCTTGCTTTCCTCAATATGATTTCTCTGTCCTTAAAACAGAAAAGTCTCATGATCAGCACTGATCTTGGAATTTCTCCTACTAAAAGCTCTCGAAGGGACCCTATGTGCTCTTTCAATTGCGGACCAGGGGGAAAGTCCTTTTCCAAAAATATCCTGTATCTATTTTTTTCAAAAATTCTCATGTTGTTCCCTTCACTGTGTTCTGGCAAGCCTACTAACCGGACGTTGTTTCTCTGCCAACGGTTCTCCAGGTCCTCCAATTTGAACTTTGCCTGAATTGACCCTTCAATAGTTCCATCTGTTGTTTCATGGGTATTAACACATCCTCCACCTCGCTTATTCTGTTCTCTAACTCCATAGTGCGCTCCCACACTTTTTGCCTGTCATTTTAAACAACAACATCTCCTCTTTAATGCATTTCAGCTGGTCAGTCATTTCAGACAAAGTAGCTTTACACCCATTTACTGCCTCCAATACTTCTCTTAATGATGGTTCCTCCATCACTGAGGCTTCTAATATAGACTGATCCGGTATTCCTATTGTAGTTGGAGTGCAGGGCACAGATGCCAACTTAGGGGAGCCACCAGACAAATTAGGGCCTCTAGATAATGTTAATGGCAAAGAGTACAGTCTAGCTTGTGCACATTTCCAGTTTTATGCGCAAATCTTTCTAATTTTGCTGACACTTTTTTACCTTTATCTTTTACTGTGCTTTGTGCTTGAGTACTGCCGGCCTCCTGAACCACCGACAGTTGTCCCTTATTCCTGTAAACATGTAAACATTCACAGTGCAGGGAGGAAAAAAAGTATGTGAGGCCCTAGCTTAATGACTTATCCCAGAGCTAATTGGAGCCAGGAGTGAGCCAACCTTGACTCCAATCAGTGTGATGATATTGGATGTGTTGCTGACAGCTGTCCTGCCCTTAAAAAACACACACCTGTTTTGGGTTTACTGGTTTCAAGAAGCACTGTCTGATGTGAACCATGCCTCGCAGAAAAGAGCTCTCAGAAGACCTACGATCAAGAATTGTTGACTTGCATGAAGCTAGAAAGGGTTATAAAAGTATCTCCAAAAGCCTTGATGTTCATGTGTCCACGGTAAGACAGACTGTCTAAAAATGGAGAAAGTTTAGCACTGTTGCTACTCTCCCTAGGCGTGGTCGTCCTGTAAAAATGACTGCAAGAGCACAGCGCAGAATGCTGCATGAGGTAAAGAAGAATCCCAGAGTGTCAGCTAAAGACCTACAAAAATCTCTGGCACATGCTAACATTTTTGTTGACACATCTACAATAAGGAAAACATTAAACAAGAACGGAGTACATGAGAGGACGCCATGGAGGAAGCCATTGCTGTCCAAAAAGAATATTGCGGCACGTTTGAAGTTTGCAAAAGAGCACCTGGATGTTCCACAGCACTACTGGCAAAATATACTGTGGACAGATGAAACCAAGATTGAGTTGTTTGGGAAGAACACACAACATTATGTGTGGAGAAAAAAAGGCACAGCACACCAACATCAAAACCTCATCCCCACTGTAAAACATGGCGGAGGGAGCATCATGGTTTGGGGCTGCTTCGCTGCCTCAGGGCCTGGATGGATTGTTGTCATTGATGGGAAAATGAATTCCAGAGTTTATCAAGACATTTTGCAGGAAAACGTATGACCATCTGTCCGCCAACTGAAGCTCCGCAGAGGATGGGTGATGCAACAGGACAATGACCCAAAGCATACAAGTAATTAAACAAAACAATGGCTTCAACAGCACAGAATACGCCTTCTGGAGTGGCCCAGTCATAGTCCTGACCTCAACCCGATTGAAATGCTGTGGCATGACCTTAAGAGAGCGATTCACACTAGACATCCCATGAATATTGCTACACTGAAACAGTTTTGTGAAGAGGAGTGGTCCAAAATTACTCCAGATCATTGTGCAGGTCTCATCTGCAACTACAGGAAACGTTTGGTTGAGGTTATTGCTGCCAAAGGAGGGTCAACCAGGTATTAAGTCCAAAGGTTCACATACTTTTTCCTCCCTGCACTGTGAATGTTTACATGTTATGTGCAATTAAACCATGGCAACATCTAATGTTTGTGTAGTATTATGTTCAGCAGACTGTTATTCTATTGTTGTGACTTAGATGACGTTCAGAGCACATTTTATGCCCAATTCATGCAAAACTCCACGTAATCCCAAGGGGTTCACATACTTTTTCTTGCAACTGTATTCCATGACGCTCTCTACACGCTGTTGTGTTAATCTGAAGGCTACACAAAGTTTGGAGGTCTTTAGCTATTGACTCTGCAGACAGTTGGCGACTTTTGAGCACTGTTCGCTTCAGTATGCACTGACCCTATTCTGTCATTTTACATGGACTACCATTTTGTGACTGACTTGCTGTTGTTCCCAGTTGCTTCCACTTTGTTATAATACCACTAACAGGTGACTGTGGAATACTTACTAGCAAGGAATTTTTTTTTCTTTTCCCAAGCGAAATAAAAATTGTGAGTTTTGTCTTTTGAGCTCTCTGAGTTAACAAGAGGATGGGGAGAGGATCTGAGCTAGTGGGGAAACTTTTATAGCGTGACCAGTCACTTTGCTCATAAAAGCTTCACTAATATTGAAAGAAGTGTTGGGATAGATAGATCAGATATATAGGATAGACAGCATAGATAGGATAGATACTCCTTTAACCCTCACTCCTAAAAAAAAAAAAAAAAATTAGATTGAAGCTCTTGGGGAAATACTGGAGAGGGGTTTAAAGGAATCACTAGAGACACTGCTCCCAGTATAATAAGTGGTTTCCTAGTTTAATTTATGCAATATCATTAAAATATATTCTTCATGAAGTGAGATTTATTATATCAAAAGGATTTTCTAAATCGCTAATGTGCAATTTTCACTAATAGACCTCTCTCAGATAATCCCACTTATGTTTCGCCTGACAAATTGCTGCAAGAATTTTGATATGTTATTACTGTTACCTTACAAATTGTATAATTCCATTATACCCATTTGAAAATTGAATGAATATTCTGAAAAATTATATGGTGATTTGAAGGAGGCCAAGGCCAACAGAAGGTAGTTTTTTGAGTTAATACATACAGTACTTGAACAGTATTTCTTTTGTTGCACTTTGTTCCAGAGAATAGTGTCACTTTAATGTCTGTTGCCTTCCTATAGTTGTACAGTTGGTAGATACAACAGAGACATGGTATTTACAAATAATATACTCTAGTGAACATATACATCTTTATACAAACACATACTGCCAAAGAGTTACTTGCAACGTGCTTCTTTTCTTGACTGGTCTTACCTGAACCAAGGATCAGGCGTTTCCTTCTCATAAGAAAAAAAGGAAACACCTGGATTAGTGCAAAAACTGCATACTACAAAACTGGGGGTGAAGTATAATCTGTGGCAACTTCTGCCATACTCACAAGCTCTCGTAAACAGATTAATTCATTAGACTGACTACATGCTCCTTAGTTAATTGAAGGGTACAGACTATAATACATCACCATGCTCTATGCTGATAGACAATATTTTGTATACTACCTTGGAGGAGTAGATAGCGTTTGGGTTCTGAGATGAAGAAAGCAGTGATACATTGAATTCTCTAGGAATGTCAGATACAGAAGGGATCTTGTATTCTCCTGGTCCATTCGCTAGCAGAGAACCACCTGGAGAGTATTTTAGTTCCTCTGTTGTGTAGAGCCCAATACCTTGCACAAATGCTCCTTCAACCTAAGAATGAACATAGACATGATATATGATTAGAAGCTGAATGTCACCAGTAAAAATATAGGTGTGAATCGAATACTTACCATTACCAGTACCAATCAATGGATCAGTGCAAAGCTAAATAAACGAAAAAAAAAAAAAAAATGATGCCCACACAACAGCCCATTCCCTGTACATCACTAGAATGAACTGGGTGGATGTAGTAAGCTGCCATGGATTGGCGCCAGGAAAGGATAATAAGCTTACGTTTTCCTGGCGTCAACATGGCAGCATACATGTGGTAGACCAATACCTAGCTGCCAGGGTGGAAAGCTTAAGTAAATCCTATCTTATAAGAAAATTAGTAAGTTACCTCCTCCTTGCCAAAGTCAGCTCTAGTGAGGACTATTGAGTCCATCAGTAGTGCAGAAGAAATGCGCCATAAAAAAAAGGGGCCTGTTTGGCTGTCCTGCCTATCATGTCGGTTGACATCTCTTCTGTTCAGATGCTGCCAGTTGAATGTGCAGCAGTTATGTCTGGTGGCTGCAGCCCAGTGATATAGTGAGCTCTTTGCATTAACTTTAGGAACCGTAAGATGATTGTGTGCTGGTGACTTCTACTCTTGCTAGTTTCTAAGGAATTAGGTATAGCTGTTCTGGCTACCTAAACAAGTGTGCTATATGTGAACTGGATTTATTGAGGGAGTACTTAACCTAAGGTTGGTCAAAACAATCCCACAGGTTCTTGATGGAATGACAACAGCAAAGCTGTGAACTTCCTGCAGCTGAAAGCTTGCCAAAAGGGTTTCTATACCAGAAGCTGGCTTCAGATGAGACTGAATGTCCACCTGGTAGAAAAACAACAACTGAGCAACAATCCGTGACACCCTCCCCATCTGCAACAACATCCAAATCTCCAGGACAAACCCCTGAGGCACACCCCTTGCTTAAAGGGGTCACACCCCTGAAAGCCTGCCCTGAAAACGCAGATGTCAGCGCAAACAAAAAAGGGTATCATGGACAGCACCCAACAGCTCCTGTTGCAAGCGCACTAATGCTGCTACAATCAACTAAAGCCCCTGGTAGAACATAGAGAAAGTGAGGATAGAAGCCTAGCTGGCATCCTTGCAGATCTGAGCAATATCTGCAGCCAAAGCTCCAGAAGCACACAATCTTAGTAAAGTGCGTCCTGTCAGGAAGGGATGGAACCTAAACCCTAGATCATGGGACTGGATGATGGTCTGCTGAGTAAACACGACATGGTGGGAAGTAGAAATTGGAGCCATGGTACAGGGTCCATCTTGAAAAACAAGAAGAAAGTAGAAGCTGAGGGATAGACTCTCTATCCTGACCACATCCAACCAAAGGAAGGAAACTTTCTTTGTGTGAACTGGAGGCAGACGGAAGAACTGGATAAGGATGTCCTGTTTGGGGAGACAGATAGAAACTACCCAAGCAAGGTGAAGAACTGGGTCTCAACAACCTTGTCTTATGCAAAAACCCAGAAGGGCAGCAACACTGACAACCCTAATAGTACTGAGAGGCAAAGCTGACCTAGGCCTGGCTGCAGTAGAGGACTTGACCCATGACAAAAAAAACTCCTGGGGAGATGTCCTGAGGCTTACACCAAAAGTTAAGCATGGATTGCATGTCCAGTGATAGATTTATCAAGATGTAGACCTATTAGCTAAGCATTAAGGGATTCATAGACTCAATGATTCCATGTCTATCAGAACTTGAGTGTGAGGTTGGTGTACCACATCTAGCTGGATCTGCCTGGAACAATGAGGAACACCTGAATTCCTTCCATCCCAAGCAGGAGAGACAAACAGGGGAAGGATTAGGTCAGGAAGTAATGATCACAGTGAGTCACCAGAGCATCCACCAGAGGACAAAATCGCATAGTCTCATTTAGTTTTGAAAACAGCTGGCATCTTTCAGCAAAACTGAAAGGGATAGAATGCTAGTAGACAAGGTGCTGATGAGGAAGAGGGGCAGGACCCCAAATTGGTAGTGCATGGGCCCTATAGCAAAGCACAGAAATTGATGAAGGGATGGGAACATTAGTTTTCTTTGATGTCCACAAAAGCCAGAAAGTCTCCCAGGTAGAACTGCACTCTAAAGCCTACACCATAGGCAGGAGCCATGGAGATGTGAAATGAACATTAGGGAGCTACTCCCGACTTAGAAGTGAGCAGTACATTTGCACAGCTAACACTTTGCAATTTGTGACCAAACTTCTCACACTTAACACGAAGCACTTCGGACACATCTTCTGTTAGAGAACAACACTCTCTCTAGGTGTGCATTTCTGGGCCAGTACCACAGAACATGTACTGGTCTCTACAAACTCAGCAGTCCCATCACCTCACTCCCAGTGACAATGTCAGTATGTTGCTATTGAACACAAAAAACACACTTCTCTATAATTCAATGATTGTTGTTCTCCTGGAGCCCCCTACTACATATCTTTCATCTTGACTCGCAGACTAGGTCCCTAGATACTCTGCGCAATAAAGTAGGTCCTGGTATATGGGGAACCAGTCACTAGTGAAGAGGCCAAGTACAATACCCCCTTACTACCACAGCATCGGTCATCTTTGCCATGTTAATTGTTCTCCGACTGGTTCAGCGCTTTAGCAAGTGACGCAAATATGGTAGTCATTAGCAACGGCAATGTAGCTTCCTCTAGAAAGCATTATGTTTGTTACACTACAGAGTCTAACTTCTCTAACCACTTCAGTCCCCTTGTTGTAAACCCTGTTTTTTTATATGCCTTACATGCACCCCTTTAGAAACTTCAGAACAAGCAATTTAGATCAAAGCTAAAAGGCAACAGACCATTCTTAAAAGACATCTTCCACACTCTCCCCTGCACAAAGTAGTAGTAGTCATAAGGAGTCCTTCTCAGGGCAAAATTCCATAACAGGCAGTGAATCAACAAGAGGTAGCCATAATCCTTAACAGGGTCCAACTTAAGGTAGCACAAATCCATAGGTTCCGGACCTCACTGGGAACCCCCGCTAGGCTCCCCCTCAAGGGGTGGTTCCAATTGACAGCATAACAGCTACATTTTGGCAGTCTTTCCCCTTCCAAACTCTCTAGAGCACTAATGAGCCTCATTTATATTGTATGATCTGCAGGGGGCAGTAACGTTTCTGAAAAGAGTGGGAAAACCTTTCCTTCTCAGACACCACCAGCTCAGCAGGTCAACCTAAGGACACCATGCAACAAATTTACATTGTAACAATTTGCTTTGACACAGTAGAAAAAAACATTTTAACAATTCAGAACCCTCAAAGGGAAGCAATATAAAATTTGTATATTTCTATGGAACACTTACATTTGAATCCAGCCTCTTAAAATTTCAAGATGCAGAAAGGTAATGCCCGCTATGGGCTTTAGAACTGAACGGTTTGCCACCAAAACTGGGACAAAAAAAAAAAGAAGACCCAGAAATGTTCAATGGATACGGAGGCCACAAGTGGAGAAAAAATGCTGCCTAAGTATTAGAGGAAAAAATAGACCTTGAAATCTGTACTCTAGGCTCCTTCTGCTGGGAATGAAAGGTTTTCAACCACAGTAGCATTCCTGATGATGTTGTCCTGGGCTGTCTCAAAGAGGCACTATCCCTGGAAGGCAATGTAGGCTACTTCCTCTGACCAAGGAAATGCTGTAGCAAGTTTCTCATCTGGAGCCCTCTGGATCCTCTCCACTCATGGCAAACTTACCTGCCTTAAAGATAAATGGCCTAGCAGGGGCAAAGACTCAGGCTTAACATAAAGTACTAGCTTATCCTTTCTGCTCTTCCTTGTCAGAAGAAGCTGGGTTGCTCTCTGCTGTGGAAAGCTTAATGAAGTTAGTAATAACAGCATTGTGATGCAGCTCAAGTTATTCACAATAACCTGGCTATGGTAACTTCACTCAGGGCTCACAGAATCCTTTGCAGCTATGAATGGTGGGAAGGAGAACTGCCACTTAAGGCAGTGTTGACACACTCTTCATCTTGTAGAAGGAGCTTTACCAAGGGCTCAGGCTTCACTTAAGGTTTACAATAATTCTGTGTGGTTAAGTGGACAGGAGAGCTTCTGTGTGCTTCTTTAAAGGAAGTCCTGACCAGGGGTGGATGACCATTCGAGCACTCGGACACTGCCCAAGGGCCCGGGGTCAGTAGGGGGCACCATGAGAAACCCCTGGTACCTTTCATAGGCTTTTTTGGGTGTGGTTTGAGTGTGGGCGAGGACACAGGGGCCTCATGATCCCCTATTGCCCGAGGGCCCCATGAGTTGTCAGTCCGCCCGTGGCCCTGACACACTCTTGAGGTCATAGTGCTGGGGTTTGCAGTCTGGAAGATGATTTTCTTTACTTTGGACTGGATTTATGGTGCTTCTATCACAGAAGATTCCTGTCAGTAGGACAGACTGGGCTCTTTAGCCTGTTAGTGTCTGAATGCACTCTGTTAGTAGTAGAAAAATATCTATCTGTCAGGTGACCTTTACCTATAGGAACTGTGTGGATCTTTGTTATGCAGTGAACTCATAGTGCACAGCAGCTGCAATACTGACATTTAGTCAAGTATAATAATAATACAGCACAGAGACATGAGTAAGGGCGTGTATCTGCTGGAAACACTAAATTGCCCTTGATGCAGGGTTTGCAGCTATGGACACCCTATCTGTAAGCTGCTGGCTCTTTAAACCATTTTCTTCCATTCTTTTCCTGCCTCCAACTCTTGTCAATCTTCTCACTTTACCCATTTCCAAGATGGCTTCCAAGCAGTTTAGCCCAACTTCAATATGGCCACTGGGACAGTGCTTGCCCAAACTCAGGATGGCCCACATGGGAGATCTATCCACTCTAAATATTCAGCATTATACATCATTCCCTTGAATATAGACATTTAGCTTTTCCTTCCACAATAGCCACTAGAATGCACACTGGAACACAATGCAGCTGCAACCTATCCAAGAACAGATGCAACATACAACCTATGAGAACATTCACAGATAAATTACAAAAAATGAG